ATGTGTTAAATTTTATATTAAATGGCGTCACTCTGATACCGTTTCTGTAATATTATGTTTTATCTCATTCAACATTATTTTTCTGAGATTTACCATGTTGATAAAATGACTGGTTTTTTTAAACTGTTATTTGATATTCCATTCATTATCTAAATATTTCTTTTGTTGTTGCTGTTGTTATTTTGAGATGGAGTCTCACTCTCTTGTCCAGGCTGGAATGCAGGTGACGTGATCTCAGCTCACTGCAACGTCTGCCTCCTGGGTTCAAGCATTGTCCTGCCTCAGTCTCCCAAGTAGCTGGGATTACAGGCACACACTGCCATGCCTGGCTAATTTTTGGATTTTTAGTAGAGACGGGGTTTCACCATGTTGGCCAGGCTGGTCTCAAAATCAACCTCAAGTGATCTGTTCACGCTATCCTCCCAAAGTGCTGCGATTATAGGCGTGAGCCACCACACCCAGCCTGAATAGTTCATATATTGGTAGATACTCAGGTTGTTTGTAATTTTTTCTGTTTTGACAATGTACCACAATAACACATTTTACATTGTGACCCAGAATAAATGAATACACCTATAGCCAAAACTACAATTGTAATGAAATAATACTTACCCCTACTACAAATTATATACTTGGTGATATGTTCTAGTTTAGTCTATTTAAAAAATACATACTCACGAGCCACTGAAAGGTCACACAAGCTATAGCTTTAAAAATACTACTTAAGGATATACCCAGGAGGGGACTTGGAGGGCCAAAGATGTCCATTTTCAACTTTACTAGATATTGCTAAATGTCTTTCCAAATTGTATTTATTTACATCCCCACAGGCAGTGTGCTGTAGTGCCCATTGCTTCTCATTCTCACAGTCAGTGTTACCAGTCTTTTTTCATTTTTGCCAATCAAGTAGGCATGAAATGGTATCTCAGTATTGGTTTAATTTGTATTGTTGAGCTAGAGGTTCCAGCCAGTGCAGTAAGACAAGGTAGATCACCGTTTTAGATCTTTATTGACTTCTTGATTTTCTTTCTTTGCCTATTTCCTGTTTTTACCTTTGCCCATTTTTGAACTCGGTTTCTGTTGTCTTTTTTTATATATCAATTTGTGAAAATTATTGATACATATTTTGTATTCCTTTCCCAATAATATGTGTTGCAGTCATTTTCTTCCAGTTTGTTGCCTACCCCATTTGTTATTTTTTTGTTCATGAAGTTTTTATTTATATCATTGTGAAATTTATTAATCTTTTACCTTACAACAGTGTATAAGGTAACACTTTATCCTTTTAGGATCTTGTTCAAGGAGTTCTTCTTAACTCTGACTTTATAAAATATTCTGTAGTAGTTTATTGTAGGAATTGTAATTTTTTGAATTTTCATTTTTAAAAGTTTGTGTCTATTTATTTTTTAGGGATAGGATCTTTCTCTGTCACCCAGGCTGGAGTGCAGTGATGCACTCATAGCTCTCTGCAGCCTCAAACTCTTGGTCTCAAGTGATCCTCCTGCCTCAGCGTCCTGAGTAGCTAGGATCTCAGGTGTGCAGCACCATGCCTGGTTAAGTTTTAAATTTTTTTTGTAGAGATGGAGTCTTGCTATAGTGCCCAGGCTAGTCTTGAACTCCTGGCCTCAAGCAGTCCTCCTGCCTTGGTCTTCCAAAGTGCTGGATTATAGGCTTCCTTTTGTTTTTTATTGTTTTGTTGAGGTTGTTGTTTTACATTTAGGCCTTTAATCCACCTGGAATTTATTTTTGTATGTCAGGGCCTAATTTCATTATTTTTCCATATGGATAACCAGCATCGTGTATTTAACAGCCTATCCTTTTATTTGTCTTTCTGACACAGGAGGATGTTTATGAAATCTGCAGTTCAGTTGCATTGGTTTGTCTATCCCTGAGCCAGGTCCACACTAGTTTAATGACTATAGATATAATATTTTTTATTTATTTTATCTCATCCTTCTAGTCAGTGGAGATATAACCTTTATGAGTATAGCTTTATAAATATTAATATGTGGTAGGATGAATGCCTTCAAATTCTTAAAATCTTAGGAATTGTTTCAGCTATTTTTGGCCATTTGCACTTACATTTAAATACTAGGATCAGTTTATCAAATTCCACAAAATCCCATGTTGAGAATTTTATTCGAACTGTATTGAGTTTGTAAATAAATCAAGCAGCTTTATGCCCAGTAGCCTAAAACTGGAAATAGTCCAAGTATCCATCAGAATAATGGATAAACAAACTGGTTTATTCACACAATGGAATATTACTTGGCAGCAAAAAGGAACAAACAACTGATTCATGTGGCAGCATGGATGAATCTAGAAACATTATTCTAAGTGAAAGAAGTTTTAAATGAAAGAGTACTTACTGTATGATTCCATTTATCTAAAGATCTCGAATAGGCAAAACTCTAATGTACAGTGAAAAAAATGAGAATAGTAGGTATCTTTGAGAAGTAAGGATGGGAATTGACTGAAAAGGGACATAAAAGGACTTTCTGGAGTGATGTTATTATTATAGGTCTTAGGTTTCTTTTTTCTTTTTTTTGAGACGCAGTCTTGCTCTGTCGCCCAGGCTAGAGTACGGTGGCATGATCTCCATTCACTGCAACCTCCACCTCTGCCTCCCAGATTCAAGCAGTTCTGCCTCAGCCTCCCAATTAGTTGGGACTACAGGTGTGCACCACCACGCCCAGCTAATTTTGTATTTTTAGTAGAGATGGGGTGTCACCAGGTTGGCCAGGCTAGTCTCAAACTCCGCACCTCAGGTAATCCTCCTGCCTTGGCCCCCCAAAGTGCTGGGATTACAGGCATGAGCCACTGCACCTGGCTAGATCTTGAGTTTCATGAGTATATACATTTTTAAAATTTATTGAATGTATACTTGGATTCGTATATTTTATTATATGCAAATTTTACCTCAAAAGAAAAAAATTGTAAAGAAATATTGAACTCTAGCTAATGCTATGCCTGCTGAAGTATTTACAACTCAGCAGCAAAAAACCAAAATAACCCAATTCTAAAAACGGGCAAGGGACTCTAATAGACATCTCTGTTAAGAAGACATATAAATCACCAATAGGTTAGATGCTCAACATCATGGGGAACAACAGTAGGAAAATACAAATCAGAACAACAGTGAGAGACCACCTCATACCTGTTAGGATGGCTGTTCAACATAACTAGTGGCGGTGAGGTTGTGGCGCAACTGGAACCCCTGTATACCGTTGGTGGGAAGGTACAGTGGTCCAGCTGCTATAGAAAACAGCATGGAGATTCCTCCAAAAAGTTAAAAATAGAACTACTGTCTATGATCCTGCTGTCTCACTTCTCAGTGTTTATCCAACAGAATTGAAATCAGGACCCCAAAGAGATATCTGCACTCGCTTGTTCATTGTATTGTTCACAATAGCAAGATATGGAAACAGCCTAAATACCCATCCGTGGATGAATGACTAATGCAAATTCGATCTGCATGTACAATGGAACATTATTCACCCTTCAAACAGAAGGAAATGCTGTCATATGTGACAACATGGTTCAGCCTTGGGGACATTATGATAAGTGAAACAAACAATTCATAGAAAGACAAATACTGCGTGATTCTACTTATATAAGATATTTAAAATAGTCATAGAGAAAGAGTAGAATGGCACTTGCCAGGGTCTGGGGTGAGGGACACATGGAGAATTGCACTTCAGTGATGCAAGGTGAATATGTTCTGGATAGCCATACAGCATTGGGCTTATAGTTAGCAATACTGTGTTGTACACTTTAAATTTTAAGAAAGTAGATAACATGTTAAGTGTTCTTACCACAATTTTGAAAAATAAAATGTTGGGAAATGCAGCAATAAAATTTTTTTTTCTAACAGCTATTTATGATGGAAAGAAAGGTAAAAAGCATTTGCTTATTTTTTGTTTGCTTTGAGGTTCTTTAGAGGGGTTTATTTAAGTCAGACTGATTATATTACTAACAACACGTAGAGAAGTCCATTTAGGTTTACAGGGAGGCTTATTTTATCTGAGCGACTTAGAATATATATGCCAGCATCCAGATGAGCAATTAAATTTAGTTTTTATTTAAGCCTTTTAAATAAATAAGGATAAAAAATAAGGATTCACAAATAAGGATAAAGTTAAAATGTCTTTTAAAAAAGATTGTCTTTGATATGTTGAGGTCCCAGGAATCAGAGACTTCAATAGTTCCTTAGAGTCTACCCTCCATCTCCCCTTCAAAAGGCAAAACAAAACATTATACGTTAGTTCCAGGGCAAGCCAGGCCAACTTTTATTAACATTTTCTCACAGTGGGAAAGTTATCTCTTTTCTGCCAGAATGCCTTCATCAACTTGACCTTGTGTTGAACATCTCCTTTTTTGACACAATTCCCAGATCTACAAGAAAGTTTTTCAGTTAAGATGGTATTCATCCAGACACTCCTTTAGGTGTTGTGGGGTTCCAAGTATGAGTAATTATCTCCAACTTCTTTAACTTAGCAGTGTCTTGGCATAATGGAAACAGGGGCACGGGGATAGAAGTACGTATTGAAATCTGCACATTTTTTCAGTTTTGGCAGGCTTCTCCTCTCGGTGCTGCAATTTTTCCTAGCACCTCTAAGAATATTGCCTTAACAGTAGGGGATGCTGGCGAAACAAAACCAAACAAAAACAGCATTATGCAAAATTCAAACTGGTGTGTGGTGGGGAGGTATAAGTCATTTGCTTTTTAAAAAGAGTCATTGTATGTTTTATTGGTAAATCACAATATGAATCATGTTAAGCAATAGAGAAGTATATTGAGAGTATCAGGACCAACAGTGAAGTATATTGATAATATCAGGACCATTCTATACAACATATGAAGAAAGCAACATATTAGGAAAACATGTTAGGACAACATATTAGGAAAGCAGTGCTACCTTGTTTGTACCTTTAATTGTTTCTGTCTTGAACAGTTTATAGGCTGCTGCCTAATCTCAGCACATATGTTATTATTTCAGGTCCTGTAGGAATGGCCGCTGCTGCTGCTGTGGCAACAGGAAAGAAGCGGAAACGGCCTCATGTATTTGAGTCTAATCCATCTATCCGGAAGAGGCAACAAACACGTTTGCTTCGGTGAGGGCTCCCTTATCCATGCTGTTACTATTCCTCAAATACTTCCTTTAGATGACAGACTTAGAACATATGTTATTTTGTTTGTCAAGGATGCTTGGTTCAATTCCTTGGTGACAGATAAGTCTTAAAAGTATTCTTACAAAATTAAATACATGAAAACCAAGAAATATGATTTAACAGATACATAATATCACATGAATTCATTCAGAAGAGTTGTATGCCTGCTGTGTGCCAGGCATAGTCCTAGACATTGGGCATAGAAGAATGAGCAAAACAAATTGCCTTAAAGGCTTGTATTCTGCTAGAGGGGGAAAGAAAAAATAAACACGCAGCATTTCAGGTGATGATAAGTGCGATGGGAAAAAAATTAAGTGGTGTAAGGAAATTAGAAAGGTCAGGAGGTAGGGGGACGGAGTCGTTTTTCTCTTTTATGGGATGATCTGGGAAATGCTTTTTGTAAGGCAGCCTCTGAACAGAGACTTGAAGACGCCGAAAGAGCACCCATGCTGATGCTGAAGGGAAGAACATTTCAGGTAGGGGGAGGATCAAGAGCAAAGGCCCTGAGGTGTGAATGTGGTAGTTATGTGTGAGGAACAGCCAGGGAGATATGACAGGATGTTCAGAGTAGTGGAAAGAGATGCACCAGGAGATCTTTTTTTTTTTTTTTTTTTTTTTTTTTTTTTTCGTTTGATAGATGTGGTCTTACTATGTTGTCCAGGCTGGTCTCAAACTCCTGACCTCAAAGCGATCCTCCTGCCTCAGCCTGAAAATGCTGGTTTTTTTGTTTTTGTTTTTTTTGTGTTTTTGTTTTTTTTTTTTTTTGAGATGGAATCTCACTCTGTCATCCAGGCTGGAGTGCAGTGGTGCTATCTTGGCTCACTGCAACCTCTGCCTCCCAGGTTTAAGTGATTCTCCTGCCTCAGCCTCCCAAGTAGCTGGGACTACAGGCGTGTGTGCCACCATGCCTGGCTAATTTTTTGTATTTTTAGTAGAGACAGGGTTTTACCATGTTAGCCAGGATGGTCTCAATCTCCTGACCTCATGATCCGCCCACCTCGGCCTCCCAAAGTGCTGAGATTATAGGCGTGAGCCACCACGCCATGCTGACTTATATTTTTAAAGAATCACTCAGGCTACTGTGTTGAGAATAAATTCTGGGAATACAAGAATGGAATCAGGGAGACCAATTAGAAGGTGAATATAGTAATCTAGACCAGAAATGATAGTGTCTTAAAACATGGCAGCAGCATGGGTAGTAAGAAGTGATCAGGTTCTAGGTATATTTCAAAAGTCAACTCACCATGATTTGTTCATGTGGAGTGTGAGAGGAAAAAAAAAGAGTGCAGGGTGATTTTTGGTCTGCTTACTAGAAGGATTGAGATGACGTTTACTGAAGGAGGAGCAAGCATGGCAGTGAGGGTGAGACAGAATTGGGAATTTGGTTTTGGACATGCTAAGTTTATGATGCCTCTAACCATTAAGTGGAGATATAAAATAAGCAGTTGGATATATGAGTCTGGAATGCAAATGAGAGGCCTTAGCTGAAGATATTATAAGCATATAGGTAGTATTTAGAACTAGGAGACTGGATGAGGTCACTTAGGGAGTGAGTGTGGACAGAGGCCTGAAGCACTCCACCTTTTAGAAGTTGGAGAGATGAAAGGAACCAGCAAAAGGGTCTAAGAAGCAACCAGTGAGTCAGGAAACAAACCAAGTGAGTGGCATCCTGGAAACCAGGTACAAAAAGTGTGTCAGGAAGGAGAGCGTGTGATCAGCTGTCAAATGCTGCTGATGGCTTGGAAAAGATGCCAGCTGACCATTAGATTTAGTAACATGGAGTTCACGACTGAACTTGACAAGAGTGTATTTAAAGGAGTGGAAAGGATGAAAAGATTGGAATAGCTTTAAGAGAGAATGGGGAGAGAGGAAATGGAGGCAGTGAATATACACCATTGTTTCAAAGAATTCCATCAGATTTCTTGTTTGATAAGTGGTCCCTCGCTCACCAGTCTCTTCAAAGGGTAGAAGACGTTCCCTGGAGAATCCTGAAATGTAGAACTTTAAAATAATCTCCTGTGATTTCAGAGGGAAAAGACAGTGTTTCTGTTTAATCCATTGTTACTATATTTTAACAAGCTGTTTTCAGGTTGACAGGTGCAGCAAACCACCCTGGCACTTAAATACCTGTGTAACAAGCCTGCACATTCTGCACATGTATCTTGGAACTTAAAGTAAAATAAAATTTAAAAAAAAAAAAAAAAAAAGCTGTTTTCAGCTGGACATGGTGGCTCACGGCTATAATCCCAGCACTTTGGGAGGCCGAGGCGGGCAGATCACCTGAGGTATGGAGTTCGAGACCATCTCAGCCAACATGGTGAAACCCCATTCCCACTAAAAATACAAAAAATTAGGCTTGGTGGCGGGCACCTACAACCCCAGCCACTTAGGAGGCTGAGGCAGGAGAAGAATTGCTTGAACCCAGGAGGCAGAGGCTCCAGTGAGCTGAAATTGCACCACTGCACTCTAGCCTAGGCGACTGAGCAAGACACCATCTAAAAAAAAAAAAGCTGTTTTCATTTCATCCTAACTTAGGAAATACTATAGGACTGAGAATAATTGTTTATATCCCAATGAAAATCTGAAGCTACAACATTTTTAAAGTATAGATATACCTTGGAGATACTGCAGGTTTGGTTCCAGACCACTGCAATAAAGCAAGTGTCATACAATAAGTCACAGAAATTTTATGGTTTCTCAGTGCATAAAAAAGTTATGTTAACACTATACTCTGTTAAGTGTTGCAGTGGCATTATGTCTTAAAAAAGCAATGTGCATACCATAATTTTAAAATACCCGCTTTTGTGTGTGTGACAGAATCTAGCTCCGTTGTCCAGGCTAGAATGCAGTGGTGCAGTCATTGCTTACGTCAACCTCAATCTCCTGGGCTCAAGTGATCCTCTCACTCAGCTTCCCAGGTTGCTGGGACAATAGGTACATGTTTCCATACCTGATTAATTTTTTCTTTTTTGTAAAAACAGGGTCTCACTATGTTGCCCAGGTTGCGCTTGAACTCCTGGGCTCAAGCAGTCCTCCTGCCTCAGCCTCCCAAAGTGCTGGGATTCCAGGTGTGAGCCACTGGGCCTGACCACTAAAACACTTTATTGCTAAAAGATGCTAGTGCCCATCTGAGGCTGCTCTCAGTCATAATCTTATTGCTGGTTGAGGGTCTTGTCTTGATGTTGATGACTGCTGACTGATCAGGGTGGTTGGTTGTTGCTCATGGTTGGGGTGGCTGTGGCAGTTTCTTAAAATAAGACAACAAATTTTGCTGTATTGATTGACTCTTCCTTTCATGAATGAATTCTCTGTAACATGTGATGCTGTTTGATAGCATATTACCCACAGTAATACTTTCAAAATCAGAGTAAATCCCCTCAAATTCTGCTGTTGCTTCATTAATTCAGTTTGTGTAATATTCTAAATCTTTTATTGTGATTTCAACAGTATTCTTAGCATCTTCATCAGTAGATTTCATCTCAGGAAACCACTCTGCTCATCAATAAGAAGCAACTCTCATCCATTCAAATTTTTTCATGAAATTGTAGCAATTCAGTTCCATTTTCAGGGTCCACTTTTAATTCTGGTTCTCTTGCTGTTTCTACTGCAAGTTACTTCCTCCGCTGAAGTGTTGAACCCTTTCAAGTCATCCATGAGGCTTGGAATCAGATTCTTCCAAACTCCCATTAATGTTGAGAGTTTGACCTCCTCCCGTGAATTGCAAGTACTCTTAATGGTGAAATCATTAAGGTGAAAGTACTTGCAATCTTGAAAGGTGAATTCGTTCCAGGTTTGCAATTTATTTTACCCAGATCCATCAGATGAATCACTATAGCAGCTATAGCCTTTCAAACGTATTTCTTGCATAATAAGACCTGAATGTTGAAATGACTCCTTGATCCATGGGCTGTAGAATGGATGTTATCTTAGCAGGCATGAAAACAGCATTAATCTTGTATGTCTCCGTTAGAGCTCTTGGGTGACTAGGTGCATTGTCAGTGGACAACAATAGTTGGAAAGGAATCCTTTTTTTCTGAGCAGCGGGTCTCAACAGTGGACTTAAAATATTCTATAAACCATGCTGTAAACAGATGCGCTGCCATCCAGGTTTTGTTGTTCTATTTATAGAGCACAGGCAGAGTAGATGTAGCACAATTTTTAAGGACCCTAAAGTCGGCCGGGCGCGGTGGCTCAAGCCTGTAATCCCAGCACTTTGGGAGGCCGAGGTGGGTGGATCACGAGGTCGAGAGATCAAGACCATCCTGGTCAACATGGTGAAACCCCGTCTCTACTAAAAATACTAAAAATTAGCTGGGCATGGTGGCGCGTGCCTGTAATCCCAGCTACTCAGGAGGCTGAAGCAGGAGAATTGCCTGAACCCAGGAGGCGGAGGTTGCGGTGAGCTGAGATCGCGCCATTGCACTCCAGCCTGGGTAACAAGAGCGAAACTCCGTCTCAAAAAAAAAAAAAAAAAAAAAAAAAAAGGACCCTAAAGTCACTAGCTGAATTAGCTCCTAACAAGGGAGTTAGCCTGTCCTGACTGGGCCTGGTGGCTCATGCCTGTAATTCCAGCATTTTGGGAGGCCAAGGCAGGGCAGATCACCTGAGGTCAGGAGTTCAAGACCAGCCTGGCTAACATGGTAAAACTCCATCTCTACTAAAGATATGAAAAGTTAGCCGAGTGTGGTGGTGCACACCTATAATCCCAGCTACTCAGGAGGCTGAGGCAGGAGAATCACTTGAGCCTGGGAGGCGCAGGTTGCAGTGAGCCGAGATTGTGCTCCAGCTTGGGCAAGAAGAGCAAAACTCTGTTTAAAAAAAAAAAAAAAAAAAAAAAAAAAAAAGATCCCCCAGACAGTGTCTGTGAAGCACAGAATAACAAAGCACAATAAAACTCAATATGCTTGTAGCATTTTTGGACTAAATTATGTCAATGAGATATGAACAATGACTATATCAATAAGAAATAGTAAAAGCAAATCATTTGAGCCCTTTTATTAAGCATGGAGATGATATGATAAATTCTGTAAGAGCACATCTTGATTGTGATTTTGATTTATTTATCTATTTTTGAAACAGAGTCTCACTCTGTCGCCCAGGCTAGAGTGCAGTGGCGCCATCTTGGTTCATTGCAACCTCCACCTCCTGGGTTCAAGCAATTCTTGTCCCTCAGCGTCCCAAGAATCTGGAATTACAGGCATGTGCCACCATGCCTGGCTAATGTTTTTGTATTTTCAGTAGAGATGGAGTTTACACCATTTTGGCCAGACTGGTCTCCAACTCCTGACCTCAGGTGATCTGCCCGCCTCAGCCTCCCAAAGTGCTGGATTACAGGCATGAGCCACTGTGCCTGGCCAGTTGTAATCTTTGTAATTGTAAGTAGCAGTAAGTGGTGTTGCTCAGATCAAGAAGAATGATACTCAGTGTTCAAAATTGTGTCATGGCTATGTCCCAAGGCAAAACCTTCAGTTGACCCTTCTATCAGTAGTCGTTAAGAAAAAGGTATATACATATTTTTGCTAAATAGGATAGAAAATCTCACATTCTCTTTTTCACATTTTACGTAAAATAAAGTGCATCTGATTAGAGTAAACTGTCTTAAGTCATTTGTGTCTATGTCACTGTAATTTCTACCTTTTTTAAACTGTTATTATTCTTTTTTCCTTTTCTGATTCAGGAAACTTCGAGCTACATTGGATGAATATACTACTCGCGTGGGACAGCAAGCTATTGTCCTCTGTATCTCACCCTCCAAACCCAACCCTGTCTTTAAAGTGTTTGGTGCAGCACCTTTGGAGAATGTGGTAAGTGAGAACCAAGCTGTTCGCAGATGCCCGTTGCTTTCCGTCAGTTGCTCCCATTCTTCTGATCCTCTGTCTAGTATAACAGTTGGCATTTCTATTATCCCCTAATCCAGGAGTGTGAGTGGGGACTAGTTTTCAGACTACTTTATGCATATCAAAACAAGAAGATTATTACTGTTTTTATTTCCTTTGTCAAGGTATTTCACCTCCCCAGATGCAATGGGTGGCCAGGGGAGGGTTTTAGATTTGTTTTAGCTTTTTGGTACTAGAGAAGAGAAGACATGCCAGATTTCATGGTTGTCAACAGTGTGGCAGTAAAGGCTATTTCTCAGGCACCATTTTGAACTAGAAGCCTTCTACTATATTCTAAGGAAAAGTCGTAACACATTCTAATTGTAGGGCTTCAGGAATTTTTGGAAAAACTCAAAAATGTTAAGAAATAACCACAACATTTCAGAGATGGGAAGATGGTGTGAAAAAAAATACAGCAAACAGAATTTCTATCAACGGATTAGTAATTCTAAACTCAAATTTTAATGCCTATATTCAATATAGGAGACATCTAATAAATGTCAGTTGATAGAAATTCTGTTTGTTGTATTTTTTTCATACCATCTTCCTATCCCTGAATAAGAGGGGGCAGGGAAAAATGCTGTTTTCTTTATTAGGAAACTAATGCAGGATTTTGTAACAAAATTACTGATTTATATCAGAAACAAAATAGTAAATAATTCCAAGGTGTCAACTTCATGAGGGAAACCTGGGGGCATTTTATTGATCATTATTTGAGTTACATATTTGAAATCTCCTACATTTCTTCAGAGAATTGATTTAATACTCTGCTCCAAATATAGACGTATATTTGAACCTTTTGATTGTATAATTATCCAGAGCTAATTTTGTAAAAATAGTCTTTTGCCCCTGTGTACTTATACAATAAGAATTATTCTTTCTCAGGCCACATTAACTTTGAATCATTAGTAGAATAATGATCTGTCAGGATTTAAATTGCATTTTGTTTTTATTAGAATAAAATTTATTAGCTTAAAATGACATTTATTGGATGTCTCCCATATTGAATATAGGCTTTTTTTGAGTTCTTACTAATCCATTGATAGAAATTCTGTTTGTTGTAGTTTTTTCACACCGTCTTCTTATCCCTGAAATGTTGTGGTTATTTCTTAACATTTTTGAGTTTTGTTTTGAGTTTTTCCAAAAATTCCTGAAGTCCTACAATTAGGATGTGTTACGACCTTTCCTTAGAAGAATATAGTAGAAAGCTTCCAGTTCAAAATGGTGCCTGACAAATAGCCTTTACTGTCACACTGTTGACAACCATGAAATCTGGCATGTCTTCTCTTCTCTAGAACCGAAAAGCTAAAACAATACTACAATACTACTACTGATAGTAGTAAAGATGGTGCAATCTATGAAAAAGATTCATCTAGAAGACTCAGAAAAATACTTCAGAAAATTACTTACTGCAAAAAAATTGTGTTTCAGTTTTGGGAAACTGTTGGAGTTCTCCGCAGAATACAGGAAGACACAGACTCTGTTAAACAGCGGAGACTAGACCAAGAGAAAAAGCTTCACCTTTGACTGACATGGCTAAATATAGGTTAGGGAATGCAAGTACCAGTAAAATTTAGAAGCAGAATATATTTTCCAGAATACTAAAGAAAAAAGAAACAAGACCAAGTCTCTCTATAAAACATAGAAAACAAGGAAGGCGTTTTTAAAAACTAAGTAAAACACATAGTCTAGAACACAGTAATACAAGTGAGGCCAGTTAATTCTGTTATAAACCTTACATATAAATTGGTTAAACTGCCTCATTAAAGGCACAGATGTTCTTTCAGGTTGAAACAACAATCCAAATCAGACCCACCTCTGTTCAATGTATATGTCATACTCATAGCCGCTCACAAATGTTAAAAGCAGATTCAGGCCAGGGCGCAGTGGCTCACACCTGTAATCCCAGCACTGTAGGAGGCCAAGGCAGGTGGATCACGAGGTCAAGAGATCGAGACCATCCTGGTCAACATGGTGAAACCCTGTCTCTACTAAAAATACAAAAAATTAGCTGGGCATGGTGGCGCGTGCCTGTAATCCCAGCTACTCAGGAGGCTGAGGCAGGAGAATTGCCTGAACCCAGGAGGCGGAGGTTGCAGTGAGCTGAGACCGCGCCATTGCACTCCAGCCTGGGTAACAAGAGCGAAACTCCGTCGCAAAAAAAAAAAAAGCAGATTCAAATAATAGAATCAAGAAAGTAAAAAGACAACACACAGAATGGAAGAAATATTTTCAAATCAACGTCTGAATTAAAAAAACTTGCAGTTGAGAATATATAAAGAATTCTTACAATTCAACAATAAAAAGACAACCCAATTTAAAAATAGGTGAAAGGGCCGCACATAGTGGCTCACACCTGTAATCCCGGCACTTTGGGAGGCCAAAGCAGGTGGATCACTTGAGGTCAGGAGTTCAAGACCAGCCTGGCCAACATGGTGAAATTCTATCTTGACTAAAAATACAAACATTGACTGGGCACAATGGCAGGCACCTGTAATCCAAGCTGCTCCAGAGGTTGAAGCAGGATAATCGTTTGAACCCAGGAGGCAGAGGTTGCAGTGAGCCAAGATTCTGTGCCACTGCACTCCAGCCTGGGAAACAGGGTGAGACTCTGTCTCAAAATATAATAGTAAAAATAATGATAGGCAAAAGTTCTGAATAGATATTTCTCCAAAGAGATATAGTAATGGCCAGCAAGCACGAGAACTAATGATAAATAATCATTTGTTATTGATCACTATTTATCACTAGTCTTTATTTATCACTAGTTATTAGGGAAATGAAAATAGAACCACATTGAAAATAGATACCACTTTATAACCACAGGGATGAGTATAATCAAAAAGATAACAATAAGTGTTGGTGAAGATTTGGAGAAAGAGAAGGCAAAATGGTACAGCTGCTTTGGAAAACAATTTGTCAGTCTCTCAAAATGTTAAAAGTAGAGTTGTCATGTGACCTAGCAGTTCTGTTCCTAAGTTATACCCAAGAAAACTAAAAACATGTTCACACACAAACTTGTACACAGTGTTTATAGCAGTATTGTTGATCATTGCCAAAAAGTGGAAACAACTCACATGTTCATCAGCTGATGAATGGATAAGTAAAATGTGGTATATCCATAGGATAGAATATTATTCAGCATGAAAAAGGGAAGAAGTACTTGTATTATACTACAGCATGGAAGAACCTTAGCAACATTCTGCTAAGCAAAGAACCCAGTCACAAAAGACCACATATTGTATGATTCCATTTATATGCAATGTCCTGGATAGATAAACCTTATTTATATAGAGAAAGTGGATTCGTGGTTGCCAGAGACTGGGGAAGGGGAAGGGAGGAACGGGGAATGACAGCCAGTGGGCATGGTTTTCTTTTAGGGGGAATGAAATGCTCTAAAATTAGATTTTGGTGATAATTTTAGGACCCTATAAGTATAAAGTCATGCTTTAAATGGGTGAATTGTATGGTATGGCAGACTGAATTATGACCCCCAGAGATGTGTAGTTCCTAATCCCTGGAACCTGTGAATGTTACCTTACGTAGCAAAAATGCAGTTGCAATTAAGTTAAGAGTCTTGAGATGGGGAGATTATTCTCAATTATCCAGGTAGGCCCTAAATATAATCACAGGTATCTTTATAAGAGGGAAACAAAGGGAGATTGGCATAGAAGTAGATGTGCTGGTGGAAGCAAGAGGTTGGATGCAAGGAGGGGTCCAGAGCCGGTGATACGGGCTAGACAGAAGCTAGACAAGGCAAAGAAACGATTCTCCCTTAGAGAGGCTCCCTTAGAGCCTGCGGAAGGACCCGGCCCGGCCAACACCTTGACTTTAGCCAAGTGAAACCAAGAAAGTAAATTTGTGTGGGTTTAAGCCACCCAGTTTGTGGTGATTTGTGGGAGCCGTAGGAAACAAATCCATATAATGTGTGAACTGTGTATTAGTAAAGCTGTTATAAATGTTAAAAGTAAAATGTAAAATAGCAGGCAGAAGTCTGTCAGACAAATGCCTACAATAATAAATCATGGATCACAGTGTTAGTATCAGACAAAGCCTAATTGTCAAGGCAAAAAAAAGTACTAACTGAGAACCTGGGGTAATTTAGTTTTAATAAGAAGTATTTATTTATTCAGAGACAGGGTCTCGCTCTGTTGCCTAGGCTGGAGTGTAGTGGCGCAATCTCAGCTCTCTGCAACCTCCACCTCTTGGGTTCAAGTGATCCTCCTGTGTCAGCCTCCTGAGTAGCTGGGAATACAGCCATGTGCCACCATGCCCGGCTATGATAAGATGTACATATTTATAATGAACCTTTATATTCTTCAAGTAACTTTAAAGCAAAAAATGAGGCCAGGTACAGGGGCTCATGCCTGTAATCCCAGCACTTGGGAAGCCTGAGGTGGAAGGCCAGGAGTTCAAGACAAGCCTGGGCAACATAGTGATTTGGCCAATATTCCTCAACTTCTGAATAGGAAAGTCAGGGTAAGAAAAGTTTTTTTGTATATATAGAAGACACAAGTAACATAAAACAGACATCAGAATACTTCCAAAAGATGTGACTGAAAGAGAATAAGAAAGAGAAAACTCTCCTTGGATATCTTAATAGCACCTCAAACTCAGCATGTCTAAACTGAACTTAAATCCTGCTTCCGACCCACCAGCCATTAAGGTGTTTCCAGTATTTGTCCCCACCCCCGGCCACCCACCACCCCCGGCCACCCACCACCCCCGTCCAGTTACGCAAGCCAGAAACTTGGAACCATTTTTGGCATCTTTCTCTCTTCTTTACCCCATAGCCCATCCATTATTTTGTTCTTCATTCGTTTCCTAAATGTCTCTCAAACCAGGTCACTTTTCTCTATTTCTGTTGCTACCACCCTAGCTATCAGATCTAATGTCCATCCAGGTCCCTTTTCAGCGGCTAGAGTTCTTTACTTGACTCTAGCTGTCCCCAGCCTCATCTTGCCTTGCTCCCCCAATTCATTCTCCACTCGAGCAACAAGGCTCTGTTCAGTCTCTTGCACAGACTCTGCTGCTTTCCTCTGCAGAACTTTTGTGTCTATGCTCTTCTCTGATTTGCTCTCTTTTACCTCGTTTTTCACTTGATTGACTTTTACTCAGCTCAGTCAACACTTCATTCATGAAGCTTTCTCTGACCTCGCTGAGCAGGTCAGAGCACCCTATTCTATCCAAAACTCTCGCAGGACCTCTGAACACTTACTAAAGATACAGTTTTATTTACCTGTGAGATTATTCTATTAATGCCCATCCCAGCTAGATTGTAAGCTCCAAGAGGGCAGGAACTGTATCTACTTCGCCCTCCATTATGCTTCCAGTACCATGCACTGTGCTTGCCACAGTAGTTCCTCAGGAATATTTGTTGAATGACTAAAGCATCTGAAATGGGTTGGCAGCACTCAGAAATGTTAAAATGCAGATTTAGTTTATAAATTCTATTCCCACATTGGATCTAAATTGATACCATAAGAAGTAAAGAGCTATGAAGCTGGATGTATCATCCTTTATAGCACATACACTCACTCTGTCGCCTAGGCCAGAGTGCAGTGGCATGATCTCGGCTTACTGCAACCTCTGGCTCCCAGGTTCAAGTGATTTTCCTGCCTCAGCCTTCCAAATAGCTGGGATTACAAGCTCCCACCACCATTCCCAGCTAATTTTTTGTATTTTTAGTAGAGACAGGGTTTCACTATGTTGGCCAGGCTGGTCTCAAACTCCTGACTTCAGGTGATCTGCCCACCTTGGCTTCCCAGAGTGCTGAGATTACAGGTGTGAACTACCATGCCTGGCCTAAACTTTGATTTCTTGAGTAGTTCTCCAAATTGATTTTTTTCTGTCTGTGAGTCAGTGTCCTCAAATGTAAAATAAGGATGATAATACCCACCTCACTTGGGAGCAGTAGAAATTAGTAAAAGTTGATTATCATCCCCCTGTATATAAAATGCTTAGGAAGACCTGGCATAAAAAGCATTGGCACATGGTAGATTTTAAAGATGCCATTCCCTGAGGGCATTCTCTTTGTAGCTTACTACCATAATGAATTTTGTAGGAATAGGCTTAGAAATATTTTGTTGTGGAACACAGAACTTCCTTTAATAAAAAACAAAAAAGAAGAACTATGGGAGTTTCTGAAGGTGGAGCTCTTTCCTCAGTCGATAACCCACAGCGTTTAGATGGGTTTACCGGATATGACCAACCAATTTTACAGGTGCAGGAATCATTCCCAGTCACAGGGGCAAGAGGTAGTTCTGGGGTTGTCACCAGCTTCTTAGAAATTGTCCATCTGCCTTTGTTTAATTCTTCCTTCTTAGTATGAAAAGTGGACTCTGGAGGCAGTCTTGATTTCTTCTAAGTCATCCATTTATATAGATTTTGAAAAATGGCTTCAAGTTGCATGCAGTTTGGAAGCGTATGTGGAAAGTAGTGTAGTGAAAGCCCCGTTGCTCGTGAATTAGTCAACATATAACTATTTAACACTATCGGATACAAGGTATGAGATAAGGATTCCATCTTAGTTTTTTGGGGTTTCAGGGTTCAAAACTGGGAACCCCAAGGGACTAGGGGGAAACTAGAGCCCTGAACTGAGGCAGGAGAAAAGAGGCAGACACTGGGGCTGAAGACACAATAGGATGAAGCCAACATAACTTCAGGGGCCACAGCCTGCGGCCTGGCTCAAAGCCAGATGTGCTTCACAGTCACAGGTCTGAGGGCAGCTTTTTGTTACATATCTCAGATGACAATACGTTTTTAGTCTCATAGGGGCTTGTAGAAAATTTTTTGAGACCTTCCCAAAGACTCTTCTTTATCCAGATAAGCGTCAGAAATAGAAAAGGATTACGGTATCTTGTCTGGTACTATTTTTGCAACCTAACTAAAGGCCCAGTGACTTATAGCAAACATTGTAAAAAGTAGCCAAGTGTGGTGGCACACACCTGTGATCCCAGCTGCTTGGGAGGCTGAGGTGAGAGGATCACTGTAGCTCAGGAGTTCAAGGCTGCAATGAATGAGCCTGCATGACAGAGCAAGACCCTCTTTCAAAAAATAAAACTCTGATGCTTCCTAAATATCCTAAACACCTTCCCTTTCTGGTAATTATAAATGTTTGTTAATATTTTACCTGTATATATCTGAATATGTGAAATATTTTATAATATTTCAGCATGGGCAATATAGTAAGACCATGTCTCATTAAAATATGCGTGTGTGTGCACGCGCACGTGTGTGTGTGTGTGTGTGTGAGTTTTCAGGGCAAGTGGGAATTGAATTGGGCCTTTAAAAATGCAATTATTATTATTATTATTTTTTTTTTTGAGATAGAGTCATGCTCTGTTGCCCAGGCTGGAGTGCAATGGCACGATCTCAGCTCATTTCAACCTCCACCTCCCAGGGTTAGGCAATTCTCCTGCCTCAGCTTCCCAAGTAGCATTACACCCAGCTAATTTTTGTATTTTTTAGTAGAGACAGGGTTTCACCATACTGGCCAGGCTGGTCTCAAACTCCCGACCTCCGGCGATCTGCCTGCCTCTGTCTCCCAGTGCTGGGATTACAGGCATGAGCCACTGCGCCTGGCAAAAAACTGAAAATATTGGATAAGAAGCAGATTTATGTGGTGGCTCACCTCTGTAATCCTAGCACTTTGGGAGACCTAGGTGGGCAGGTGGGATGCTCTATCAGCACTAAAAAAGATATTTTAAAGGAATTATATGGCACTGATAACCTGACTCATAAAAATGGCTGAAATTGTTTGAAACTGGCTAATAAAGAAGTAATAACCTAATGATTCCATTTTTGAATGCCAAGTGTTTCTAAAAGCTTGATAAAATTTGTTTTTATTTTTAAATTTTTACTTATTTATTTTTGAGACAAGGTCTGGCCCTGTTACCCAGGCTGGACTACAGTGACATGATCTTGGCTCACTGCAACCTCCACCTCCTGGACCCTAGCCTAAACACTGTCTAGAATACAGAAACAGCAGAAAATACAATACTGTAAAGTTGCTGTGGCAACATCAGCTACTTAAGTTGCAATAAATGTAATGGCAATAAACTTTTTTTAAACTTTCCTTTTTATTAGAGACCGGGATAAAACTGAATCTCTGGAAATATAATGAGCCTGGAAGTTTGTGCTATTTTTCTCTCATCTCCTTATTGACCTATTTGGAGGATTCTTCAACTGCAGAAGTTGTTACTATGTAGCCAGTAATAATATTTATTTTTTCAGATGCTTGGGGTAGAGTATGGGAATTTTTCTTTTTTCATCCACATAATGAGATATTTATAAGGAAGTGTGTAGAGTCCAGCTCACTCACAGATAACCCAGGATTCAAACGCTGTTGGAACTTCTAGACAAATCTCATTTTCTCTTTCCTTTTCTTTTGTAAAATAATGCCTTGAGCCCAGAAAGCAAGTTAATTTCCTATCCCACTTGTCACATTTCCATAATTCTGTGGCTTCTTTGTGATTCCCAGGGGTTTCCTCATCCCCCTTGTGTATCCTCCTAAGTGAATGAACCCATTTTTCCCCCTCCAAGCTCCAGGCATTCATATGAACCCATTGGTGGTTGGAGGACCCAGCGTCTGTCCACCCTTTTCGTTCATGATAGAAGAATGTGTGCATGTCTCATGTGTTACCATTAAGTTCTCTGTCTTTTGAGAGACATTTCACTGACAGTGGTGGGAATGCAGACAACGAACAGCAATATCTGGTTCCAACCTGGGCTAGAGCTAAAAGCATCATGAGTTGGAGGTTCATTTCTGTCACCAGGGCCTACCAGAAGGAAGATTTGACCTATGAGGCTCCCTCTGGCCCGGGTCTTACCGGTAGCGGCACTCAGCTACAGAATACACCTATCGGTTTTTTTTTTCTCTGATTCTTTTCAGTTCAGTCTCTTGTACGCTTGAATCTCCTGTCTATTTGGTAGTCTTGCTTTGCAGGAATGTAACAGCAGTTTTGAATGAATAGGTTACTTGGAGTTTTAGAATTGTAAGTCCTTGAAGATCTTGAAAATGATTTTGTGATGAGCTGCCACAGCTGACTGTTCATCCAATGGCCCGGGAAATGCAGAACCATGAATACCATGCCTGATAGACCAGAAACAGGCAATGGCACCTTCATTGAGAAAACGTGATTTTAACTGAGAAGCAGTATTTCTGGAAAAAATTTCCAGTGGCTCTTCTATTGTTGTTACCTGTAATTTCATCATCTTTTCATTTAATTCCGTTCAGCATGATGTCTTTGGGACCAGTGGGTATTTGTATTTGCTTATAGAAATGTTCGTTCTTAGGGCTATGCAATGGCTCGGAAGGCCAGCCCCACCCACTCTCTTGTTGCTTGGCACCAATCCCCCCTGGTTGTTGGGCATCTTGTTTACCTCTGCCCTTAATTCCCTGCAGGTGCGTAAGTACAAGAGCATGATCCTGGAAGACCTGGAGTCTGCTCTGGCAGAACACGCCCCTGCGCCACAGGAGGTTAACTCAGAACTGCCGCCTCTCACCATCGACGGAATTCCAGTCTCTGTGGACAAAATGACCCAGGTAATGGGCGGTAGGTGAGGAGGAGACACAAAAACAAGTGGCACAGGTGTGGGCGGGCCTCTGATCACTTTTGTGTGTTTTGGCCTCTGATCTGACCAGGGGCTGAGATGCAGATTGGAGTCTGCTGAAACAGTAGCAGCCTTGGAAAAGACACTGCAGTGCCAGAAGAGTGCTCCCAACCAAGAGCATGGCTGTGGTCTCCTCTTTCTTCTGACAGCTTTTTTTTTTTCTCTTTCACTTGGGCCTTTGGGTTGGATTTAAAAAAACAAAAAAACAAAAAACTTTTAGCTTGGGGTTGGTCTGAGAAAACATTAGGAGTTTGATGAATCACAGTCAAGGTGGGCGAGTAAACTTTTAGCCTCTCAGGCTGCTCTGCTCCTATTTCAATGTCAATTCTGAATACTACCATGTTATCACTAAGTACACCTCCCTTCCCCAGGAAATAAGAATGTAAAACTCAGAATAACAGTCTTCTGAATCATTGATTTCCTCTTCCTTTTAAAAATTTTTATTTAAATTTTAAAAATTTTATGATTTCTAAAGATGGAGTCTCACTATGTTGCCCATGCTGTCTAAAACTATTAAGCTCAAGCAATCCTCCTGCCTCAGCCTCCCACAGTGCTGGGATTATAGGCGTGACACGTTGTGCCAGCCTGAATTCCTCTTCCTTTAAGAAGTGAAGTCAAGGCCGGGCGCGGTGGCTCAAGCCTGTAATCCCAGCACTTTGGGAGGCCGAGGCGGGTGGATCACAAGGTCGAGAGATCGAGACCAACCTGGTCAACATGGTGAAACCCCGTCTCTACTAAAAATACAAAAAATTAGCTGGGCTTGGTGGCGCATGCCTGTAATCCCAGCTACTCAGGAGGCTGAGACAGGAGAATTGCCTGAACCCAGGAGGCGGAGGTTGCGGTGAGCCGAGATCGCGCCATTGCACTCCAGCCTGGGTAACAAGAGCGAAACTCCGTCTCAAAAAAAAAAAAAAAAAAAAGAAGTGAAGTCAAAATGGCTGGGTGTAGTGGCTCACACCTATAATCCCAGCACTTTGGGAGGCCGAGGCAGGTGGATCACCTGAGGTCAAGAGTTCAAGACCAATCTGGCCAACATGGTGAACCATCTCTGCTAAAAATAAAAAAATTTCACCAACATGGTGAAACATCTCTGCTAAAAATAAAAAAAATTACAAGTGTCTTTTGTGGCAGACACTTGTAATCCCAGCTACTCGGGAGGCCGAGGCAGGAGAATTGCTTGAACCTGGGAGGCAAAGGTTGCAGTGAGCTGAGATCATGCCATTGCACTCCAGCCTGGGCAACAAGAATGAAACTCCATGTATCAAAAAAAAAAAAAAAAAAAGGAAGTCAAAATGCACTTAGCCTGATAAATCAGCATACCTCAGAAATTTTTATGAGATTATCTTTTTTATATATTTTAAGTTTAGCTTAATCAAAATCAAACACCTTTTAACATATTTTCTCATCCTATTTCTTTTTCTTTTTCTTTTTCTTTTTTTTTTGAGATGGAGTCTTGCTCTGCGGCCCAGGCTGCCTCTGCCTCCCAGGTTCAAGTAATTCTCGTGCTTCCAAGTTGCTGGGATTACAGGTGCAGGCTACCACACCTGGGTAATTTTTGTATTTTTAGTAGAGATGGGGTTTCACCTTGTTGGCCAGGGTGGTCTCAAACTCCTGACCTCATGCGATCCACCCACCTTGGCCTCCTAAAGTCCTGGGATTACCAGCCTCCACACCTGGCCCACTCTATTTCTTTATTAATGTTCTTCTGTCTTGCTAAATCCACTTGTCAGGTTTTTTTCCTTACCTTATTCAGTCTTCAGCATCATTTGACACAGTTGATTACTCCTTAAAGCATTTTCTTCTCTGTCTCTTCACCTCACCCTCTTCTGAAGATCCGAAGTCCTCACTGAGTGCTCCCCTCATCCCTCACTGGGTTCTCCCCTCATCCCTTCTGCTGGCCCCTCTGCCTCTTCTCACCTAATCATCGATAGGCTGTTTACACCCAGCTTACTCTCACTGTTAGATATAGCTCACACCTGTGACAAAGGGTGCCTCACAGACCTCAAACAGAACCTTTGGTTGCTCCTACTTTCCACGCCACATCCCTTCCTCTCCAAGTGTTCCCCATATCACTTAATGGGACTACTATCCATCTGGTTGCTCAGGGCCCAGCATTAAGTAATCCTGATTTCCCTGTTTTGCCCTCTCCCTCCACAGTCCCCTGCCACCCTCCACATCTAATTCAGCAGCAGGCCATGTCAGCTTACCTCTGAAATGTACCCTGACTCTGGCCATTCTTCTCAGTTCCCATCAGCACCCAAGCCTAAGCCTTTAGCATCTCTCATATAGTCTGTCTCAGTAGCCATTGGTCTCCCTATTGCCACTGTAGTCTGCTATAGTCCATTCTCCACGTTGCCATCATAGTAGTTTTTTAAAAAATTTAAATCATGCCGGGCGTCATAGCTCACATCTATAATCAAGAAGGAGGAACCCTTGAGTCCAGGAGTTCGAGATCAGCCAGGGAAGCAGGGTGATTTTTGTCTCTACAAAAAAATACAAAAATTAACCAGGCATGGTGGCACATGCCTGTAGCCCCAAATACTTGGAAGGCTGAGGTGGGGGGATCGCTTGAGCCTGGGAGGTTGAGGTTGCAGTAGGCTGAGATTGTGCCACTGCATTCCAGCCTAGGTGGCAGAGCGAGATCCTGTCTCAAATAAATGAATGAATGAATGGATGAATAAATTTATTTATTTATTTAATTCAGGCCGTATCACTTCCTGGTTTAAACTCTTTAATATAGTTTTCAGCTATTTCTAGAATCAAATTTAGACTCTGCCGTGGCCTGGAAGGTCCTATGGTAATCTGGCCTCTTCCTGCCTCATCTCATTCTTCCCCTCAGTCACTGGACTCCGGCCACTCCAGCCCTCTTTTCCTCAAACACCCTGCATCCATTCTTGGGCTTTTGCTATTCTCTTTGCCTGAATATTGTTCTCCCAGATGATTGCATGATAGACTCTCTCTTATTAAAAATCTAGCTCAAAAATCACCTCCTGAGACAAGCCTTTCTTGATTATCCCACCTAAATGAAGCTTTCTTCTCCCCACCAAGCCACTAATACATCCTCTGTGTTCTTGTCCGTGTAACACTTGTTATTACCTGGAATTATCTCATTTATTAACTTTTATACTTATTTGTGTTCTGTCTCCCCTGCTAGAATTTGAGGAATTTAATTTCTATCCTTTACTTCTGTTCATTACAGCCGCTCAGCCTCTGAAATAGCATGTCATGTAAATAATAGTATCTGTTCAGTAAATGACCGCAGGGTTAGAGCAAAAATGAGTTAAGTGTAGTGGTGGGGAAGAGGATTGCAAGTCTGCTGGGCAGGTTTTTACTCAGTGTGGACACTGATGCTGCTGCACAGGGGTGACACTTTTCTTTTTTATTCCATTTGGACCAGCAACTTGGTCTGAAGTAATGCTACATTTTATAAATACAAAGCTAAATGGCGATCTTTTGCTTGCTGGATTCACAGCCCTTTCTGTGGACACTGGAAGGATCGCTAAACCATTGTATAGAAAGGAAAGCATTGTCTAAACCAAGCTTGTCCAACCCACATCCTGTGGGACGCATGTGGCCCAACACAAATTCATAACTTTCTTAAAACATTTTGAGATTTTTTGGCGATATTTTTTTCTTTAACTCATCAGCTATCATTAATGTTAGTGTATTTTGTGTGGTCCAAGGATAATTTTTTCTCCAACTTGGCCCAGGGAAGCCAAAAGATTCGGCACCCCTGATCTAAACTTTTCGTTACTCTCTTTTTACAGTTTCTATTCTGTTTCTGGAGGCATTCTGACTGGTTCAAGTCAAGAAAACATACAGTGAATTATTTTTATCTGGTCGATATAAAGAATCTATCCTATCTAAGATGTAAAGTACATCTAAAGCTGCCTAAGCCTTTGGTTTCGAATAGTGTGTTAGGTAAACTCCTGTGATGGGTATTTTTTTTATCTTTGTCACATTTGGTGTGTTAGGGTAAAGCAATCTGAGGTTTTGATTACATTGAATCATTGTGGATACTGGTTTTCATGAAAATTGGCCAGTGGCCACAGAAGTCAGAGCAAACAGTTTAGTTGTTGTCATTTTGGAGCTAAGACAGTTGAAAGTGTTGTTTTCTATTTTTGTCAAAACTGTACTCAGTAAAGCTTGGTGTGGTGGTGGGAGCTGGTTCTCAGTTGTCAAATACATAGATGCTTTATTGGAGCATTTCCTGTGTCATACGCTCCCTCCTTCCCCTTCTTACCAAAGATGATAACTAAAAAGTCGAAACAAACAAATGAGAAGGAAGAGTGAGCAGGGTAATGAAAAACTCAGCTCCCAGTTGAATGGGAATTTCCACGTATTTGGATCCTGGCATTTTCCCCCCCTCACCGTTTTATTATTGTTTGTTTTGTTTTCCTCAAATACTTTTTTCTTAACCTGAGCTAAATAGTTTCCTTTTATAATTGATCCTAAAGCCTTTCACTATTAAGGAGAGTAAAAGGAGGGTTTTTTCCCCACCCAAACCTAGATAGGTAAGGGTATATAGGACTATAAGCAGTTTAAGACAGTTGTTGGGAATGCAAATTGGTACACTTTCTCTAGAGCGCAGGCTGGCAATGCATATCAAAGTCTAAAATGTGTATATCATGCCCTCCAATTAAACACAGATGTAAATTGTTTATTGCAGCATGTTTACAATTGGAAAATTTGGGAACAGTGTGATTGGTTAAGTTACAGTAGTGTTTAGAATTTATATAAGAGCAGCATAGCCCAAAAGAGATGATTCAATGAACTATTAGACACTAAAAATGATGATTTGCTCTTTATTACAGTAGAATAATATTTGTGGTATATTAAGTTTTAAAAAACTGATTGTAAAGTATTTCTTTTTTCCTTCCTTCCTTTCTTCCTTCCTTCCTTCCTTTCTTTTCTTTCTTTTCTTTTCTTTTC